GGGAGAGGGAGAGGGAGAGGGAGAGAGAGAGGGAGAGGGAGAGAGAGAGAGGAGGGAGAAAGAAGGGAGAGCTTTTAATATGGAGAATTTAAGATACTTAGATACAGCCACTTAAAGATGAGTATGGTGAACCACTTGAGGGTTAGACTGAACAGAGGTACAGGACAGACAAGTCAGGGATGTCAGCTGATGATCAAGAACAGAAGTCCAGGAAGCAGACAAAAATTTTCAGTGGCATCTAATTGGAGAAAGAAGACTAGAAAGAAGCTGAAGACCAAATCTGAGATCACCTAGTTGGGAGCACGGGATGAGCATGAGAAGGCACCACCCAAATTCTGAGAAGGCACAGGGCTCTTTCCAGTGAAGGAATGCATTGCAGTGAGGAACTGGCAGGTGTAAAATAAATCGCTGTCAATTTGTTGTGCTCTGAGTATGAAATGTTCCCCATGGGTTAATGTATATGTTTAAATACTTGGCCCCCAGTTGGTGGTGCTCTTTGGGGAAACTGTGGAGCCTTTAGGATGGAGAGCTATTGAAGACTATGGGTCATTGGGGGTGGTCTTATGGGTTTATAGCCTCGCCTGCTTCCTGTTCACTGTGCTTCCTGATAGATGGTTTCCTGCCACAAGGCCTTCCCAATGTACTGCTGTGCCTTCCCTGCCATTATGGAAAATATTCCCTTGAGCTATAAGCTAGAATAAAGCCTTCCATTGGGTATTTGGTCACATTAAATATAAAAGTAGCTGGTACAAAAATCCTGCCTGTGGCCTTTGATTTTCTAATTTTTAAAATAAGAATAATTGAAAGTAAAAGTAAAATATCAAGTATTAAACCAAGATACATTAGATCCACTATTTTTCAGTTTTGCAGTTTAGGTTGGACCCAGGGCCTTGTGTTTGCTGAGCAAGTGCACTATCCCTGTGGTGGTTTGAATGGATATCACTGGGGGCAGGCTTTGAGGTCTCAAAAGACTCAACACCACTCCCAGCATGCTCTCTGACTCCTGTTTGCCATCAGAGATAAGAGTTCTTAGCTCTTCCTGCTGCCATGCCTGTGATGATCTCCTAGATTCATGTAAGGTTTACATGGAATAGCATAAAGTGCTTAGCTTGGAACTTGCCATACAAAAAAGTCCCCAGTGAATACTGTAGGTTACCATTTAAACCCAGTCTCAGATTCTGAAGACATTGTGACTCACATTATTACATACAACATAGATGGCTTGTATATTATAACATCAATGTGTAATATGTGGATTCTTAGGTTAAAGGTAATTCAGTATTCAGAAAAAAAGTTTAAGAAACAGCTGCAGTAGGGTGGATAGCTCCCTACGTTAACAGACTCGTTATGAGAATGTTCCTTCGCTAATGCAGCTTCTGTAACAGGTCTCATTCACTACTGAGTAGATCCATTGTTATACATTTGCAACTTGATTTCATTACAAAAAAAATCTAGTTTTTACAACTCACATCTTTTATATACTACTGTACCAAGTACAGTGCATCCATACAACACATCAAAACCCATAGAGGCTCCAAACTCTGATGTAGTACTTCTCGAATCTTTTGAACTCAGGATCCCTTTACACTTTAATATCTGAGGACATCCAGAAGTTCTTCTTTATGTATGTTCTATCTCTCAGTACTTATTGGGAATTAAAGATTTTTTTTCATTTTTTTTATTTGAAAACAAACCAATTACACAGTGATGTATACACACTTTCCGTAAACAGAGATAACTGTATGCCAACGAGTTATAAAGGAGAAAAGCACCACCATTTTACATTCCTGTGAGCCTCTCGCATCTGTCTCAATAGAAACAGCTGGATTCTCACCTGGTTCTGCATTCAATTATTCACTTGGTTGGGATATCACTCGTTCCGTAGCCGGTGGAGGGGATACAGTGACTACTTCTGAGAGGGTGAGTGGAAAGCAAACCATGTCTTAGTTTTATTACAAACATATTTTTGACCCATGAAAGCACAGTGGGGTCAACCCAGAGATGCAACACTAAACTCTGAGAATTGACAATCCCAGTTGAACACAAGCTTTTACAGGTCTGCTTTTTATGATCATCGGAGAATATAGTGAAGAAATGCATCCAGCACCCAGCTCCTGCCTCTTTTGTCTCAAAAGACATTCTCACATAAGGAGTTGGCTACACTCACCCTCACCGCACAGCCCGTGAACACTGAGCCAGTTGTGCTGCTTTTGAAGGTTCTGGTCTGGTTCAGCTGCAGAAGTCCTTTATGATACTGCAGAGCAATTCTGGCTGTCACTCCTGAGCCTGTGGGGCTTCTGTCGACCTGTTTCAGAATCAGTAATTACAGGAATGTGAGAGTGCTGTCTTATCAGTTGCATGTCTGAGCCTAACAGATCCAGTTTTGATACCTGTTCATCGGCAAACACACAGATGTTGACTGTGGCTTCCTCACTGTAAGCATCTTTCCCATCCGTCAAGATAGTTCCATACAGAAAACCAAGGTCTTCACTCTCTGGATGGCTGATTTTAAACTGCAAAGAAAGCAACCACATGTAAAAAAAAGGTTTTGATTCAAATTCATCTTAAGAAATAATGTCAACAACAGACTCTTCGATATAATTTTCTCAATGCATACCATTTTTTGAAATTACCTTGCTGAATAAGTTTGCAATTAACTGCTTGATATATGTCAACCTCTTGATAAAATTTTATTGGCAATTATGATTCTCATGCTGGGCTCCTGCTGAGGAAGCTCTCTGAATCTAGCCTTAACTGAATGTGCAGTCCTATTTTATATGCATGCCCAGCACATACTCTCTGTGAAACTCTGAATTCAGGATGGGGAGTTCCCACGCTGACTGTGCCTGAGCTAAGACCATCACGTGGAAGGGAAGAATGTGGGAAAATCCAGCAGAGTAAAACTTTTTAAAAAGAAAGTGAAAGGCATTCAGGTGCTATTGATAAATAAGAAACAACTGGATAAAGAAGGAAAAACAACAAAATAAAACACAAGTGGCTCCTTGAAAAAGCAGTGACTGACTGCACACAGAGACACACAGCCCAGGACTGTTAGTGGAGAAGGATATCCAGGCCCAAAGAAACAGTGCCTCCAGTCCTTGGGAGATCCAGTAGTTGAGCTTTTCCTGGATTTCTGTGGCATCTGATAGCGATGTCTGAGATTGTTGTAATCATCATATCTGATAGTGATGTCTGAGACCACTATAATCATCATACATTTATCATATACCACTTAGACCTGGCTTCCTAAAGTCCAGTGTGTCAATCCAAGTTAAAGAGCCCTGAAAACTGTTTTTCATTGTTGAAAGTCGCATGCCATCTTCCACTATAGCACACAGTATGGTGTGCTAGCTCCTTCCACTAGATCGAGATCCTGAGATCCTGGTGTTTGTCCTTCCTTTGGGTCTCCTGCAGCTTAGTGTCTGACATATGCAATACTTTCTTGTTAAATATATGTTAAAAGAGTGAGGTTGAACTTAGAGAACATTAACTTTGGACTTTGCTCTATGAAAACCTGCATCAACAATATGGATGGCCTGGTCAAAAACTGACAAAGCAATTCCTCTGCCCAATGCTTTGATGATGGAACTTCAATTCTCTCAAAGTACAAGGACTCTGGATTTTCTCAAGTCCACCCATTGCCATTACGACCTGCCTGAGAAGTTCAAGCTTTAACAGAAAACTCAAAATTGCTCTTTTATTAAGAAAACAATGGAAGAAAAAAAATGAGGGTTTTTTTGGGTTTCATTTAAAAATGAAGTGGAAGCATTTTATATTTTTAAACTATTAGCTGTCTATTTGATAAGACAGAAAACTGATGCAAATTAAGAGTGTTAAAATTTGCACTCTTAATAAAATAATTCTGTATATTGGTAATGATAGCCCCAGAAAAATGCTAAATTCAAACAGCATTATCCTATGTATTTTCTTTTAAATATATTTATTTTTATTTTATGCATGTTTTGCCTGTGTAAATGAATATCTAGGCACATATATGTCAGGAACCCAAGAAGTCAGAAGAGGGCATCAGATGGTTATGAGCCGACACCTCTCTAGCCTAATGTTACATATTTTCATTTTCCACTTAAGTTATAAGTCTTGTCAAACTAAAGCCTTAAGTGAGCTCATAATAATGATCAATACAAGCATATTAAATACAATCACACTATCTTTATGGCTATTAAGTCATGTAATATAACATTCAAACTCTGTAATGTTGTTTTACCCATGAGTCCTGACTCAAAGTACATTGGCAGAACTGTGCTAGAAATGAAAAGAATAGAGTAACATATCACCTAAACTGACTTTATTTTAAAAAGCAGGAAAACCAAGGACACATGGAGATGAGGTTACGAATGCTCTCAGTGTCAAAGCTAGAATTCACAAGTGTCATGCCTGAACCCTATTAGTATGAATAAATATTTAAATGCATTTGTGCCTAATTTTCTTAATGGGTATGATAATTTGTATTTGCCCAAGCCACCAAGGGAGGCATCCATCATCAGGGTAGTACTGGGACTGACCTGTGCTTTCACTGCTCTGGTCAACGTGCTCGCTGCATCCATGAGGTCCCTTGCCTTCGAAGAACACACATCAAGTCCTAATTTTTCTGCACTAACAAATGCATAAAATGCCCCACCATATGCAATGTCCACCACCACCTTTCCATGGCCAGGAACATCCACGGTGAGGTCTGAAAGAAGCATTTGCAGGTATGTTTGTTAGGAAAAAAAAAAAACACATTGTTTCCATTATGTTTACTGTAAAGAGAAACTTTTCACGATGAAAAGGAATGAAGAAGAACTCCATTTTCAAAGTGTCAGGTGAAGGAGAGCTTAGGTGCACTTTCCTGTTTAAGTTGATGGGTTGGATAAGCTAGAATGTATCTGGATGTTTCAGTTCTTCTCAGTTAGATACATATATCTGTTAACTACTCTGAGGCTCTACTCTGAGCCACTACAGAGTGGCTAAGAGATGGGGAAACTCTGGTACGTCCTCCTGTGAACACTACAAAGGAATACATACTAATGGGGAAGGCTTTGAAGACTTGAATGCTATTCCCAAACTGGTTATCTTCAGTTATAATGCGAAACAATTTTTTTAATGATTTTTTAAAAATCTGGGTATAGAAGCACACGTCCATCCTATTAGCACCGGGCTTGCAGATCTGTACAATGCCTGGCTGCTACTTTTCTTTTTAAATCACTTATTTGGAGACATTGAAAATGAAGAGACTCAACCATGAGCACATACTGTGTGCCAGACACATTGTCTACACTAGCTCCTCAATTACCTCAGCACTGAGAGGCAGGTACTATTATTTAAGATGCTCCCATTCTTCTGAGATGTCCACCAAATAAGTGGCAAAGCTTGGAGTCAAACTTAGAAGCAGCTGACCATGAAGTCTTAGCCTGCTTCTCTGAAATATGTACTTAGAACTCAATGCAAAATATGAAATCTTTCCTTTTGTCTACGCAAACTTATCACTGGAATTTTAAATTGATTCCCTTCAGGTAACCCTTAGGGCATACCTACCTGAAGAGTGTATATACCATGTGGAAGATTGAAGAATTACAGGATGGATAAATAAAACAGCCTTCCTTTGTAAGATCAGTTAGACAAAAAGGATAAAATTTCAACTCTATCACATGGTATGAATGAGGTTAGATATGAGTTTTCTAGAACATGGAAATATAACTTCGTGAATTGCAAAACTGTTAAGAATGAGAGGAAGACAATCTTCCAGGCTTGGGTTTGGATCCTGTTCTGCTTCTCAGTACAGCTTTGCTGCCCTCGTACAGAAAATGGAATTGCTATGTCCCCTTTAAGTGTTGTTTTGAGAATTCCATGCACTAACACATAGAAAGTAGTACCAAGTATAGATTAGTAAGTATGGTGACTGTTAATATGAAGGTCAAAGTTTCATTTCAAAGTTTAATGGCATTCTCAAGGGGACCAGAGAGCCACAGCGGCCAGTCTGCACAGACTCCAAATTTCATTGATGTGGCTACTCATTTGGTCACTATCATTTGCAGTCTACTGTAGAAGACCCCCTAGGGTACAGTGAACAATATAAAGGTAATTTATTCTGTGAGTGTGTGTGTGTGGGGGGGGGGTTACAGTGAGCTCTGTAGCCCTCACAGGTGAGCACTGGTGCCCTTCATTTCACAGCTGGTGACTTTCTCACACAAGGCCACTGAGATGGGAAGGGGCAGATCAACACTCCTCAATGCCATCCCCTGGCTTTTAGGTGCTTCCAAGAAGAGGATTTCCATTCCCTCATGCCTCAGTGGGACCATTCAAGTCCACTAACTTTTGTGCTGTCACACAAGAATGCTGTGGGGAAGTATGGTATCTAAAGGTCTGCGTACCCCTCTTTGTTATGAGACTAATATGCAGCTGCTGCTTCTGCCAGTTGTAGGGTCTCACAAAGTGGACTCCCTTTAATCTGCTGCTTGATTGCTTAGGGAGAAACTAGGTAGCCAGCTAGTTAAATGGCTGGTCTTGGAAAGCCAGTCCTCCTCCTCCTCTTCTTCTTCCTCCTCCTCCTCCTCCTCCTCTTCCTCCTCCTCCTCCTCATCATCATCATCAAATCATAAATTATTTCACCTAAGAGCCAACCTGGATGTGATACCCATACTCTCATAGGGCATCAAATTCCTCCAAGGCATTCATCATCACAGGTGTTTCCTCTACCGAGGCTGCCCTAAGCCTGTTCTGCTACAGTGTCATTCATGTCCAGGCTGATCCAGAGTCTAATTATTCAGGGAGGATCAGGATCAGATTTTCTAAGAATGCTTTGCTCAGCTCAAAGACTTGGGAGAAAAGCCGTGGTAACCTTATTCCTGGATTGGCTAACTTAGCTCCCAGTTCACTTCCAGGCAAACACTAAACATCTACATGGACAGAACTCAAGCCGGCAGGTATGTCTGACCTGCCACGGTGGCAAGTTTCATGCTGGAGAGCTATGAAACCCAGAGACAATAAAAAACAAACTATTTAAAAACGGTTTAAGTAAGTGTACACTTTATGGAGGGCACATTCATAGTTATCCTGGGCAAATGGGCCCTGTAAGTTGCAGGCTGAATATTCTTGCTACAAGGACATAGGGGTGAAAGATAAAACAGCAGTGGCCAGGTGATTTCTGAGAGGGATGGTCTGCTTTGTAAGTGTTCTGATTATGCAGATTACCTGCTTGGCCAGACAGTAAAAGATCTATCCTACAGAACCCAGAACCCTGTTCATGTTTCTGTATCTCCAGGAAACAATTCTACGTATCTTGAAGTCTGTTACTTGAGGAGTTTTTTTTTTTTTCAGCTATTTAAAAAAATCTACCAGCACTCAAGAAGCTGAGGCAGATGAGACAGAGGGCCAGCCGAGACAACATAGCAATTCCACCCGGGGCTAGACGCTGACACCCCGTCTCAAAACAATAAAATAACACCCATTAACTTAAAAAAAAATAAAATTTTAATAATGTTTCATACCCTCACTACTAACCATGAAAACTTCTGAGATAAAGTGAAGGTACAGACACAGTCACGGAGTTTGTGAACTCTGCCTAAGTTTGCATGGCTTTGACGGGTTGTGAACTTGTGTGTTCAGCCAAAGACTTTGTTTCTCAACAAGGACAGCAATAGCTTTGCTTACAAATTTAGTTCCTTCAGGGTCATTTAGTTCTTCCCCAAAGCCAGAGGGTCTCACTATATAGCCCTGGCTGGCCTGGAACTGGCATCCTACTCCCTGCAGAGGGAAAGCGCTTAACGGCTGAGAAAAGAGAGGTCATACTCAGTAACTTATTAAGAGTAATGTGATGACTAAACGTATTCTAAGCTATACTTGAACTCTGGTACGCACACTGCCCTTTGCTCTTTAACTTCAGTCTACCGTGAAGCATCTATGAAAGCCTGACAAGCAAGGAGACAGGATCTTAAAGGAAGCACAGAATTCTTCCCAGTTCTACTCTAAGCTCCCCCCAGGCCTTGTGTGCATGGATCTGCTCATCAGCGTACTGGAATTGATTGCATCCACCAAACCTGCAAGGCAAAGATACTGAAGCATGTTTGCACTAATTTGGAATTACCTTTTTATTAATCGCAAGGGCAGGCAGGGTGGGTTAGTTGCGCAGGTATATTCAGCACAGAGCAGTGGTTAGATTCGTGGATTATGTCTCAACCGGGTCAAGTGGGTCTCACCCTTTACCTGAGGCCAGGACAAAGGCTGGGACGCTGTGGAAGCGCACAGGGCCGCAACTGCGGCCACCTTCACACTCCACGAAGGCGGTCACCAGCCCACACGGGCAGTGGATGTTGACCCGGGCCTCCCGGGCGCCTTTTGGGGGTGCAGGTACCAGATCAAAGTCGAGCGCGAAGCGGCCCAGCGCCAGCACTGCGTGGCCACACATGGAGCTGTAGCCTTCATTATGTAGAAACAGGACGCCTAGGTGCGCGTCGGGAAGCTCGCTGGGCACCAGGATGGCCCCGTACATGTCCCGGTGGCCGCGGGGCTCGAACACGAGTCGCCGACGTATGTGGTCGAGGTGTTGACGCATGTAGCGCCGCTTGGCCAGCAACGTGGGCCCTGCCACCTCCGGACACCCGGCGTGCACGATGCGCAAAGGCTCGCCGCCTGTGTGCATGTCCACCACCGATAGTGCTGGCGTCCTCGGGTCATGCGGGGGCAGCCGGGTCACTGCCAGCGCCGCCTCCATTGTCTGCATCCAGAGACTGCCGCAGTGCTCTCTCCAAGCTGGGGAGAAAGCGCCAAACCCAACGGGAGAACGCGCAGAGCGGGTGGTAATCTCAGGGCCAAGCCGGGGAGCAGAGATCACCCAGCGACCAGCGCCTGGAATCTTAGACTGGGCGCGCCCGAGCTAGCTGGGTCCTGAGCAAGACACACGGCAAGCAGGGGCGGGCCTCGGAGACGTGACAAGGAGCGTGAGCCGGGCTTAGAAAACTTGACCCTCGAATGGGGGCGTGGCTCCAGAGGCGCGAACACACGAGGGGGCGGGGCGCCGGAGCTTTCTCAAGCGGTGGGGCTCGGCTCCGAGGCGTGACAGCTCGGCGGGGGCGGGGCCTCGGAGACTAGACACGCGGCAGGGGCAGGGCCTAGAAAAGTAGCCATAAAATAGGGGCGGGGCTCCAGAGACTACTCGGCGGAGGCGGCGCCTAGAAAACTAGCCCGCAACATGGGGGCGGTCCTCGGAGACTTTAATGCAGGGTAGGGGCGAGGCCTGGGAGACTTGAATGATGGCAGGGGCGGGGCTACGAGCTTCGTCTAGGAAACGGGGGCGGGACCTCAGGATCCAGTCCAAAAAAAAAAAAAAAAAAAACCAAACCAACCAACCAACCAACCAACCAACCAAACAACCAAACAAACAAACAAACAACCAAACAAACAAAACCCCTCGAGGCAGTGGAGAACAGTTCAAGTTGGAGGCTGGGCCGGGACGCGACCTGGACCCGGAAAAGGTGGAGCCTCTGAGCTCAAACCCGGAAGCGAGAGAGAGGCTTCCAAGCGTAGATGAGGAAGCCTAGGTTTCTGGGAATCCTAGGCCTGGAAGTCAGCCGCGTGCATCCCCCCACACCCTTACTAGGGGAAGCGGTGGTGGGGCGGGACTCGGAGCCCAATGTAGCTGGGGCGGGGTTCCAGCGCGATTGCCCGGCTAGCAGGAGGCGGAGCGGCCGGGAGCGCTGTGGCCCGGATGTTCGGGCGCTGCGTTTGGACCGGCTGATCCCAGCTTCTCTGGGGAACCTAGAGTGGCCAATGGGTAAGTGGTCGCTTAGGCTGCGGGCGTGTCTCTGTCTTTGTCCCAGCTGCTTTTCCACCGCATTGTCTTGGGCTCGCTCCGGCCGACAGCTCGCCTGCTGCGGTCAGCCTGGCTCTTTGCTGCCCTGAGCCTGGGCTCTTGACTTCTCCCGGGGTTGGGATGGTCTGCTCCAGAATGGCTGGAGAAGAGCGCGTGTGCAGAATTAAAGGCTGAGGCTTTGTTGTGTTCTTCGGGTGTTCCTTCATTCAGTCCCTTTGTTCTCATCCAGGAAAACGTTCCTGGTGGTTGACTTCAGAATTAGTAGTAGTGTCTGAGCAGGACAAGGAAGCAGAAGCTAATTGCCACAAGGCTTGCTTATTCAACCTCAAGTGTAATTTTTGTTTTTGTGTTTCAAGACAGGGTTTGTCCGTGTAGTCTTAGCTGACCTGGAACTCGCTCTGTAGACCAGGCTAACCCCGAACGCAGAAATCCACTTGCCTCTGCCTCCATAGTGCTGTGTTGAAAGGCGTTCACCACTGCACTGGGCATCAAATGTAATACATTGAGCCCTTCACAAAGGATCTGGACTGTTGCAGTCAAAAAACGAGGACAGCATTTTAGCCATAGTTCACCAAAGGCTATGAAAGGTTGTTGTACAGATTCTTCTTGTTAGGTAAATGAGCTTTGCTTTTGTTTGTTGCACTGATTTTCAGGCCTTGGTTTTGAGATCTTTTAGATACAAAGCCCATCGAGAAGGGGCTTCCAGTCCCTTAATTTTCTTCTCAGAAAACCTGAAACAATTCATTTCATGTGTTTAGTTCACTACAATTTTTTAATTTTCCTCATACCTTTAAGAAATTGATTGCAAGGCAGGTCTCAAGTAACTGGTCAGAATCAATGCCAGAGTTGATGGAATTTTACCCTTGTCCTCAACAAAAATGATAAATGCTAGGTTAATGATTTTATATGGAGGTGATTGATTTGTTTTAAAGACTTACCCTCTGCTTGGAAATTCTCTTTTCAGAATGTAGACAATTCCGTTTTTCTGTTAATGTATTCTGTTATGAACAAAGAATGAGTCCCAATGTGTGCCCAATGTCTCGATTTGGCAAAATGAAGAATAGTGACTGTAGCAGGTCTTTGCTACTTTGTGGGCTCTCTTCTCATCCTGTACCCCCTTCTCACCCCCTTATCAATAGATAAGGAGCGAAAGATGCACAGAGGGAGGGAGAGAGAGATAATAGAGATCTCTGAATCTATTTTTTTTATTTCTTCTTTGTATCTGGCCTTTGCTATTTTACAGATTCTTTTTCCTGACATTTATTCTCTGCCCCACCTTTCCCCCAGTTTCATCCCTTGTCACTAGATAGGAGAGAAAGAAAAATGGGAGAGGGGAATAGAGTTCCTTGAATTTCTTCTTATTTCTTCTTTGAGCGTAGCTACTAACTGCAACCAAACCCCCTGAACCACCAACCACCCCCTACCCTGCCTCTCGAAGCCCTAGCAGTTACCCTCTAAAAAGTTTCCAGAATTCTAAAAGTCACACAATTGCAGGAACTATCTGCAGCTGGCAAAACCACGCCTCTGCTGGAGCATGAGGCAAATCATAGTCAGCTGCTGTGAGCAGCCTCACATCCCCATGGCTGAGACTAAAACGAAAACATAATATTTTGATGTTTTCTAAAAGAAACCAAAATTACAGAATTCTCACTACAAATGACCTTCTATCCGTGGTTTATTTTAATTAACTTTTAAATTTGTGTGCTTGTATATGGTGAATGGTATGTGGAGGCCTGGGGTGTGCCTGCTATAGCCACACATGGAGGTCAGGAGGCAACTTTCTGGTGTCTTTTTACCATGGGCTCTAGAAGTCAAACTCCTCAGGTTTAGTTAGGCATGCTGAGCCAGTGCTTTTACCAGAGCTACCTCTCTGGCCCCTCTCAGTGATTAAAAGAAAAAAAGTTCTTATGACCTTCTAACCAATGAAATTCTAAAATCTCATCAGGGACTGGCTTCCTAGAGCGAGTGGGAATATTCAGGGTTAGATATCTAACCCTGGGGCTAGAACCTGCTGTGCTTGTTGGAGACCTTGATAGGAGGCTTCAGGTGAACAGCAAGATGCAAATACAACTTTCTGTACTGTACACCGTGTGAACAGATTTAAAGTAAACATCAAGACTTGTCTGTTACGTATTTTTAAAGTGAGGTTGAGATAGTTGTGTCAGTTACTTCAGCTGTCAGGCTACTCTTATTTGTAATCACAGAAGATGTTACTATACTGGCATTTGTTTTTAAAAAGCTGTCGATATTCAACCAGCATGCCTTGGACTCTACTGTGGGAAGACCCTATTATTTAAAAATGGCTCAAGTGAAGTCTATGGAGAATGTGGGGTAAGTCCTATGTTAATATTATTTCATTTTAAGATCTGTTTACTTTGGGAACATTTTCCACATAGAATTTTTTTGTTAAATATATTCATGAATGTATAAGAATGTGGTATTAATGAAAGCCTTGCTTATATTGGCATGGTGATAACTATATTAAACTTTTCTTGACAGTCACAGATATTAAGATACTTTATAATGTCTAAGTACTGTTTAATGATTTAGCCAAGTGTTTTGCACAGTGACTTAACATGCCAACTCCAGAACACTTCTGTAATAGTTTTTGTATGATATTACTAACAAGGTTTTTTACCGAATATTAGTCTTCTTTAGTTGCTATTTTAACAACTAAATGAAGAGTCTTGTTATCATTTTATAGATAGCACATGTGATGTGGACTTCTTGAAGTGCTTTCTCTCTGAGATTTCTTTTTATTCTGCTTACAGGTTTTGTTGTTGTTGTTAATTTTCAAAAGCTATACATACATACTAAAATGTTTAAAATAAAATGGAATCCCTTATAAAATGATCCTAAAACACTATCTGTGTATAAAGTAGTGTTTTTATCTGTTGTAGGTATGCCCAAGAGGACAGAGGACAAATGCACAGAAATACTGTCAGCCTTGCACAGAGTCCCCAGAACTTTATGACTGGCTCTATCTTGGATTTATGGCTATGCTTCCTCTTGTTCTGCATTGGTTCTTCATTGAATGGTATTCAGGGAAAAAGAGGTGAGCACATCTGATTGTATCTGCATAGACTAATGCTGGGGGAAGGACCACTTATTGTGATGCCAAGTCCACAGTCTTCTGTTGACCTACACCCTCAGCCTATTTCAAAGGGGACAAATTGTTTTTCTTCTGCTTCTTCTATTTTCTCCCTGTAATAAGAAGGCAGTGGTCGGGTACATCTTCATGGGTGTTATTGATGCTTTTCTTAATTTTTCTCTCAGTGCTCTTGAAAGAACATTATTTCTCAGTGATAATACTGAGTTTTTGCAAACGTTGGTTATAAACACAGGGCGTTACTGTTTTAGAGCAAACACTTTATAACTTTTTAATGATCTAGTGTGATTATGACAGCTGACTAATCCACTGTTGGTGCGATATTGAGCAGTGTATTTTATGTTTGGAAGATCAAAGAGAGAGAGAGAAAGTGTAGAGAAGACAGACAGGTACCTGATGATAACATAAACCCATCTTAGAGGTGTAGCGAAATTTTCTTGTCAACCAAACACTTTGGAGTCAGAGAGAATTAGAGAAAAAGTATGCCTAATGGGATCCAGAAGACCTCAGAGGGCATGATGCTGAGGGCCGTGCGATCTGAAGTGGTCAAGGGTGGGTTGTACGTGAAGGAAAGGCAGTACTGAAAGTAGATGGAGGCCAGAATGCGGAGGCTCTTGATAAACATGTACCTGGTCCTCCACAGGGAGCAGGGAGGCAGTCTTCTTTAGCTATTTCAGCATTAGCAGTTTTAATTCCTCTGCTTTTGTGAGGTTTTCCTGCTTTGGAGTTTTTACTTTCTCCAAACCCTTTTTGCTGCCTGGCGTGTTACGGAGGCAGAAATGAGTGTGGTGTGACTGAAAAATGAGCTCTGAGGGGAGACTGACAGAGGAGGAGTAAGGCCTGGATCCAGAGGCTCGGTGCCATAAAGCTGGGGCATTGTCAACTGTCTGCAAGACCTGGGACCTGAGGAGCTGAAAGAGTGGGGCAGACTACAGTTTCTGTAGACGGCCTTACTGCAGTTTCAGTGTGTTTTATACACAAATGTAACAGAGAAAGCAATCATCCAAGGAAGATCATTTGAGATCAGAAAAACATGTAAATAAGCATCAGTAAGCACAAACTAAATATTAAC